CACTTACTAGTTAGCACATTAAAACTGGTCTACTGAAAACACTTAATCCCGAGGAAGTGTCAAATCGTTTCGCGATAAAGGTTCATTGTTTAAACCTTCTCCAATCAATGTGTTGCAGTATTTTGATACCACTACGACGGTCAACTGCACAGCATACGATCACCACATTTTCTCATTTCTTAATAAAGCTTTGCATTATTAACTTTATAAATTAAATTGCTTCAACAATCGTTAACGTCAGAATATTGTAAAACTTTTTAATCAAACTCGCGTACAGCGGGTTGACTAAACTAAAGCCAAAAAACTACGATTAAAGAATCACGGGTTTCGGTTAAAGGATCGCCGGTCGAGGTGGAAGAATTGTGTTTTTATTAAACTTTGATGGCAAAAGTGTAGTTGATTGCCACATGAATGCACTATTGCGAAGCGACTGAAATTCGCTCTATCTGCTTCGGACAGTCCGTGATAAAATCGCCTGCGGAACAATTCCGATGAACTTTCTGATTGCCTTTATTTAACCCCACTGGTTGTGTGCCTTCCCGATAGCCGTCTTTGGTCTGCTTGTGAAGGACTTTAAACTGACATATAGATCTTTTCCATTTGTATCCCTGTGCTTTGGCTTATTTCAAACCCAACTGACAGAACCAGTGAGTTCCAAACACTTTTTCGGGCAAACCTCCAGTGACTTAAGTACATACGTGTCAACATTTAATACTCTTTTCAAACGCAACCTTCCGTCGTACCTTGTTTGGGGCGTTTCTCTGACACCCTGAACGTATAATCGACTGAAAACCTGATAATTTGGCTGTTATTATTGAGCTTTTTTGTCTGTGTGCGCGACTCTTTTTTTACTTCAATAATGCGGTCCATATCAACTGCTCATCTCTGCGTGCAATATGGCAAACACCCAATTTGACTGGAAGGACAACATATGCAATGATAATAGTACAAGGTGTACATTTAATGTGACATTTTGCTGAGAATCACTAATAATTATACAGAACTCAACTAGCATATTTAAAAGGGTTGGAAAGGGCCGGGTGCACTGTAACTATAGTGTTTTTATCCGTTTTATGTAATGAATACCCAATGGCAACCACAGGTACGTGAGGAGATTAGGAGTGCGTGCCAGTGCGACGATATGATGCTTTACACCTCTTGACCATTGCCATGAGACTAACAACAATGTCCGTAAATGATGAATTCCTAATTAAACCCTGGACACTGCAGTGAAGCTGATGAACAATGCAGTGCACTGAAGATTGCGTAACCGCTATACTAAAGCAACAGCTGCTGATTGAACTGTTACTTCCGGCCCCGAAACCACCTGTTCGGTGAAGGAAAACAACCAATTCGTTAGCCTAATCGTGAAAGGTTTAGGACATAAATAAATCGAAGTTGGACGCTGTAAGTCCTCATGTATACGTATAGGAGTTCGTGAACTGCTTAGATTTGGATTACCAGGAACAACAAAGAACGAAACGTCAGATCTGTAAACCAATGGAAGAGCAAGAATGGTATTTAGACGAAGAAATGAATAAATGATCAAATGGATGTATCGAAATGATATCGTTAAATTGGGAGCGAGTGGAGGGGGGGGGGCGAGAGGCCAAATGCGTCCTCAACTTCAGAAGTGGACAACTTTTTCGCGCTAATCCCGATACCTATAAAAAGAGTGTTTATTTAGCGCACTCAAGACATCACTTCGCTGTCTATGAACGGACCAACTATTTGCAATTGCATACACACAAGCGTTATCAAGAGTCTCTCGGTTCTCACTCACCTCCAGGCCAACATGAGAGTCAATTTCTCGGTCAAACAAAGCTTGCACAACTCTTTAAGCGGATAATGCGGATCGGTCTATTCAAACAGGAAGGAGAGGGTGCAGGTGAAACAAACGCAGCACGTTCGATTATTCTGGAATTGTCAGACGTACCACATCCACCAGGACGAGCAACACGGATAGCTGGTAATTCTGTTTGGTTTGACGCAATCGCTCAAATATATATTCCGAGTTCAGGTTATGATACCGCAAGCTGAACGAAATAAAGAGGAGCAGGACAGTGCAATGTTTTTCATTGCACGAATAGAAAGATCGGCGTCAACCTATATATTAATGATATTTCAACCTATACAGAGGAAAAACGCCAGAACTGATGCGAAAAAAGTGTACTGGAATGGTGCTGTAGGAACAGTAGTTTGTTTAGAGCAGTCATTCGATCTGAAACGACTTTATTTGTAACATGAGTCGTACACGTTCGCAGTTAGTGAATGATGATCAAATAGAGGAGAAAAATATAAAGCGAACTGCAGAATGCATTGGAGAAATTCTATGTTCATTATTATTCGTAATAAGATGTTTCTTCCCCTGTGTCCATTAGACTACTTATGAGTAGCATGCAACGTTTATTTTCCCAACAGTTAGACTTTCGTTTTTGTGTATCCCACGGCGTCTATATTCATGAAATTTATATAGTTTGATAGCATATTCACCGGTCATTTAACGCTGCGATTTCTAACCGTTTATTCATAAGATTGCATTTTTCCATCGGTATAAAAGTTTGCTGAGCGCTTGTTCTGCGAGTAAAAACCTGCCGCCCGCGGGGCTTGAACCGCAGACCAAACCCTGGTCAACACATTCGCTGGCTCATTGTTTTTTGCTTTTGTCAGTGCGGTCCTCTGATACGCATACCTTTGATTAACACCGCCTCTTTGTATCGCATTCCGACTTTCTAGCATTTACTACATTCCATCCCAATCCATTGTAATTTCCTTCTCTGTCGTTTTATTCCGGAATAAAATGTATTGTAAGCCTTTTCCATACAATACCGCAACCTCTCCTATTTGAATTTCACTGCTGTGGTAATGTTACGCTTAGCTGTCTACCGGGTAGACCTTGTTGTTACCATTGCTGTCACGGACTGTTACTGCTGCCCTGTAATTTGGTTGCTCAGCAGGCTAAAAGTTACTTTTTATGTTTTATCATTACTGTATGAATTTAGAACCACGATTATGACCACTGTCGATAAACGTTACTACTATATTGGACTTCGTTCTGCTGCCCGTAGCCGTGTTCTGTCCATTTCGTGCGTATACCTATCGAAACTACGTTACCAAGAAATTTCAGTCCGCTAAGGCGTGACAGCACACTCGATATACAACAAATAATGAAATACATGTAAAAATGCTAATTATTTTCTAGGCCCCGGAGGCGCCAAGATGCTTCACGTCCACGGCTAGTGGAGGTGTATGTAACGGGGTTTGTCAACCTCAAGATTAAAAGAAGCGCCGTGTTTGTGGAAAAAATTGTGATGACCGACAAAGAGCACTGGACAGCTGGTTCGCCGTGTTTGAGACTCTTCACCAATGCATATATTTTGTGAAACCCACACCCAAGACCATTAAGAGAGCTTGGTTATCGTCAACAATCGAATGGATTATTCCAGATTCACTACTCGTAAACACTTTTGTTGTTTACCGTGTTTGTGTAGCGCCAAAACTGTCACCAAACGAGGTCCCGCGATGAGTAACCCAAGGATTCCAGTTAAAAGATGGTTGCAAAACAGCGCAAACCTTAATTGGCGAAAAAATAGGCACTGCTTCACAGAATCAGCAATCGCGGACGCTCACAGGCAATGTCTGAGGACGTATCGGGTTTTTTGTGTGACAAGTGCCCTATCTCTAATACAAAACTCCATATGTCCGAAGACTGCATTGCGACATGTGCGAATCTGGCTTCTCACTATCTGTTACCCTAACGGTAGCACAAGGTTGGGCATAAGCGGTACACCCACAGAGAGAAGATCACGTGACACGGACAACCACTACAAACTGGATTCTCAAGATGATCAAGGATTCCTCCATGAAGGTGATCTATGGTCAAGTAGGACCAAATTGCTGAAAAGTAAAGAAAAAAGGTATTTTCACAGAGCAAAGTATTGTACAACCGTAAAACGGAATGAAGGATCACAGTGTGGAGTGGTGAATCAAATTGGAGACAGTAATGCAACCATTGGTTTGTCACAGCTTATTCGTTTCTCACATAATTACTCAGATTCCTTGAATGGTCATATTCATCGAACGGAGTTGGATTACTGGTACAAGTCACCCCACAACAAACAGCACGTAGGTAAGATACAAGTGAATTTTTTATGGTAATTCTCATGATGAAATAGTAAACATACGACATTGAAAAAATACCTGAGAAAGTATACACAGTTATTTCGACCAACCACATAGTCGGGTTCAATGTCCGCGTATTCCCACGCGACGTGATGAATGTGTTTGAGCAAAGGATTACCACGCTGAACAGTGAAGGGACAAGAACAGGATTTCAATGGAAATATTTCATAAAGCATGAGGTGCTCAGTTTCACTGAGTTATCGATGATCGATGCATGTACAGATCGTGAGATTGCAGCGGTAAAGGTCATTCGAATGAGTTCCCTTTATCAGGACCAATGCTCTAACGGGTACGCATTTCATGAACGAAAAATCGATGGAGCGATCATAAATATCGCGGTAAAACAATGCTATACCATTCAGAACACAAGGCGGATAGTGTAGTCTAACCTGAGATCCAAACGATATATCATGATCCTTTACATTTTCGCTATTGTGAATAATGCATCACAGGTATTAGATATGCGTCAGGAAAAGGGGCTATTATTGCACACAATGCCATATGTGGTTTCACACCGAGCAACCTTTCTCTACAAGCCAATTCGAGACAAAAAAGATTCCGGTGTATGGATAATCCACCGCCCCTGATCTGCTACCGCAATTGCAAGTTTTGCTGAATACGAATATCGTTGCGCGCAAATCGGGTCCAGTAACTGTACCTGATTAACTCTCTTCGTTGATTCACGAGCAACTTGCATCCATCCGCTCCCACCCGTTTCCTCTTAAAACCTCTGTGCGACCGAAGGTAGTGAATTACGCATATGGTATCAAAATGTCAAACCCATCGAGTAACACGGTGCAAGACATAAACTGCACGACTGTGTCATGCTACCACAGGATCAACAGAAATAATATAATAAGAGGGTTCATGACAAAATATAGCGCAAAGACATTTGATTTGGTTTACCTTCCAACTTTTTGGGTTAACACATGAACAACATACAACCAGCAGTCTTTTCAGAAGATGAGAGTTGTGAGAGATTACTTAGATTGTGAAAAACGTTTTTGGTGCACAGAGAAAAGGAAACGTGACATGAAAAGCATTGTACGGTCGTTTCAACTTGGCAGTGTATTGCACTCAGACGGAGCACATCAAATCCGGGACTTCGCAGGTAGAATGCAGCCGTACTAGCTCCTTGACCAAAAAGCCACGTTGCTTTTGTCTCTACACAACACAACGCGGCCTGTCTTTAATAGCTAGACAGCTAACGATACTAGGTAACGTGATTAGACATGAGAAACAGAACTGTGCGAGAATTTGACTCATTACTTAGATAAAATTTCCTCAACTGTCTCCAAAACTAACTAACCAACCCAGCTTGTTAAGTGACAACTACAAGAAGGGCATTAGAGTGCAACATCTGTGTTTATGCACTTTGAATAACGGTTCTTCGACCATACTATTGGGTACTTGTATTTTTTAAAACAGAGTTTAATTCCATGCAGTACCAACTAACTAAAACAGGAGAGCTCACTCACTCTCATTACGACAGGCACCGTTGGTAATAAATGCACCAGATTCATAGTTTCCAATTGTGTACGTTGATTGATTCTCGCTCACTGATCAGTTATGGTTCCCTGAAATTATTTCCTTTGATTGGCTATAATCAAGAGCCTACGTGGTATCCTGATGAAAGTCCATCTTAACCTGATGGGACCGCTTGCATGCCTCCATGATCATGCAAACTATACACGATGGCTCCTTGGAGCTGAAGATCCAATCATGCCTGAATTTTCAGTGGATAGAAGATTAACATAACTCACTATCACAAGGCCAGCTCCATGGGTACCTGGCTTCCTCTAAATATTCACTCCCGCCATAAGGCTTCTGGCCCCGACGGGCTGTCCCCATCGGTTTTTAAGGAAAGAGGTCTAGCCTTGGTTTTGGAGTTAACAAAACTCTCGGGCTTAGTGTAGGAGAGGTTCCAACTGAATGGTGTGAATCGGTCATCATACCGATTTACAAGAAAGGTGACAGATCCTCTTGTGAAAACCACAGAGGAATTAGTTTAATCGAAATTGGCTCTATGTTTCTCGCTGCGATCATTCTCCGTCGATTGTCTGCCGCACGTGAACGGTGCACGAGTGAGAACCAGGCTGGTTTTAGACTTGGTTGAGGTTACATAGACCGCAGTTTCAGCTTCCCTCAAATTCTAGAACACAGACACTCCTTTCGTAGATCCACCACTTCTGTCTTCCTGGATCTGAAGGCGGTTTCGACTCATTCAACCGCTCTAAACTCTGGCGATGCTTCACTCTAAAGAGTGTGCCCGAGAAGTTTATTTCAATATTACAATCGCTTTACGCTAATGGCCGAAGTCGAGTCCGAGCCCATGGCACTTTTTCGTCCGAGTTCACCACGGAAAGTGGTGTTCGACAGAGTTGCTCTCTCTTCCCGCTTCTATTTAACTTCGTGATTGATTTAATTCTTGAAACAGCCCTACTCTCGTGAGAGGATAGCGGTATTGATTTACTCCCAGGTGGCAGACTGTCTGATCTAGAGTATGTGGACGAGATTGCTCTACTAAGTGAAGATTCAGATAAGTCGCAAGCTTTTCTAGATAATTTGAGTGCCAGCGTAACTATGTTCGGTATGCGTTTTG